AGTTGGCAATAATTAGCAACAGGGGAGAATAGTTCTAAAATTTAATGTTATACCTAAAGACGTAGAGATGGGGGCCATATTTGTTGGTGAAATCTTGTGAGTCTCAAATTCTGGTAATTAGTTTAAAAATTGCAAATGCAGGGCTGGGGATGTGGCTCAAGCGGCATGCATGCGGCCCGGGTTTGATCCTCAGCACCACATACCAACAAAGATGTTGTGTCCACCGAGAACTAAAAATAAATATTAAAAATTCTCTCTCTCTCTCTCTCTCCTCACTCTCTCTTAAAAAAAATGAAATAAAAAACAAATAAAATTGCAAAAGCATTGAAGAGATTTAACAAATCCGCTTCCAGTTTGCACCTGTTGAAAGTGATATTTCAGCAAGCAGGAACAGTGTGGCATGGAGTAGGGACAATCCAGGCATTAGCAGCCCAGAGGAGGGGGGTCATGTAGGAGGAAGGAAGGTGCTGAGTTGGGGCCCTGGGAGGTAAGGTGGGCACTGTGATGGGCAGCATCCTGAGGGCACAGGGAGCTATGGAAGGCTAGGGGCGTGGGGCAGGGCCAGACCTGGGTGAGGGAGGCAGAGTCTGGCCATGGAGGGCTGTCATCTGGGCTGGGCTGAGCCTCTGGATGCTGCCCTGTCCCGCAGCGGTACCTGGATGAGGCCGAGCGGGAGAAGCAGCAATACATGAAGGAGCTGCGGGCCTACCAGCAGTCAGAGGCCTACAAGATGTGCGCTGAGAAGATCCAAGAAAAGAAGATCAAGAAAGGTGAGTCTGCTGGAGGCCAGTGTGTGGCACCTGCCCTGCATGGTGCTGACCCCTGCCCAGGCAGAGGTCCCCTCCATGGAGAGAAAAGACACATAACCCGCTACACATGCATGAGGGTCACTCAGTGCTGCAAGGGGGACCACGTCGGGAGCCCGAACCAGGATGAAAGAACTGACCGAGGGGAGGGGCGGCAGGCAGCCTGTGTGCAGGTGGCCACTGGAAGGCTGATCCTGCCCTCCTCCCTCCCCCACCAGAGGACTCGGGCTCCGGGCTCATGAACACTCTCTTGAATGGACACAAGGTAATGATGTTCTCCTCCTGGGACAGCATGCTCCTGGGAGAGAGATCTGGAGGTTTCTAGACCCTCTGGTGGATGTTAAATGACTGCAGTCTCCGGAACATCCAGGGGGTGTGTCTGCCTTCCCTCCAAATTGCCACCTTGTCCTTTTGCCCCAGGGTGGAGACTGTGACGGCTTCTCCACCTTCGATGTTCCCATTTTCACTGAAGAGTTCTTGGACCAAAACAAAGGTGAGCGTTAATGGAGTCCTAAGAGCCCAGCGCGTGGACGTGGGTGGTGTGCTCAAGGGTGGGCCAAGAGGGTGCCACGGTGGGAGAAAGGGGAAGCGGGATCCGCCTCCTCTAAGCTGGGGGCTGGTGTGGGGCGGGTAGCACAGCTCGGGTCAAGGCCCAGTGGCCGAGTGGCGGGGTCGCAGGGCGAGCTCCAGGCTCTAACCTGCTCCCCGGCTGCAGCGCGGGAGGCGGAGCTGCGGCGTCTGCGGAAGATGAACGTGGCCTTCGAGGAGCAGAACGCGGTGCTGCAGAGACACACGCAGAGCATGAGCAGCGCGCGCGAGCGCCTGGAACAGGAGCTGGCGCTGGAGGAGCGGCGGACGCTGGCGCTGCAGCAGCAGCTCCAGGCCGTGCGCCAGGCGCTCACCGCCAGCTTCGCCTCGCTGCCTGTGCCGGGTGCGGAGCGCCGCGGGTCGCCGGGCAGCCCCCGCCTCTGAGCCCCGCCCAGCCCGCCGCAGACCGACCCGAGCGCCCTGAGCCCCCAGACGCCAACCTAAACTCCTAGCCTCGTCGCTCCTAGCCCCGTTCCTTCTGGCCGGCCCGGGAGCCCCGCCCCTTTGACCTCCCCAGCTCCCCCAGACCACAGGAGCTGCTCCTCACCAACCCTCCGACCTCAGGCCCTCCCCGCCCTGAGCCCTGAGCCCTGAGCCTTGAGCTGTCCCCTGGGGCCCGCCCCTGCCCTGTCCTCCCTGTCCCACTTACTCCCAACTTCTTAGCACCACCCCTCCCCGTGCCCTCTAGCCCCACACCCCACTCCGCGGGGTCCTCCGCTCTTATAGGCCCCCACCACCACTAACCGGCTTCCCCACAAGACCCTGCCGTCCAGCTTCCTGCCCACAGCTGACCCTGATGGCCTCCCGCGGCGTCCATACCCAGATAGCCCAATCCCGACCCCACCCCACTATTACTACTGGTGATCCCCCTCGGGGGACCCCTTCCTGCAGAACCCCTGTCCTCTGCCCCAGGGAGCCAGTCCCTGTGAGTCCTTGGGGCTGCTGACCACCTGCCTGCCTTCCACAGGCACTGGCGAGACGCCGACGCTGGGCACGCTGGACTTCTACATGGCCCGGCTGCATGGGGCCATCGAGCGTGACCCAGCCCAGCATGAGAGGCTCATCGTCCGCATCAAGGAGATCCTGGCCCAGGTCGCCAGGTCTGTGCCTGGTTCTGTGGCCTGGACCCCAGCTTAGCCACCAGAGGGGTCCCTGGGGAGTACTGGAGGGGCTGGTAGGGTATAGCCTTGTCAGGTGGGGTCCACAACGTCCCCAAATCTCAGGGTAGATCCTAGGTGCCCAGGTTAGTTGGGCTCCGCTCTGGGAGGGGCTGGGGGGCCTGGCCTCTGGGTTTCCTGGGAATGGTGGGTGCTGAGCCCTGATGGGGGGCCTCCTCTCTCCCCTTACAGCGAGCACCTCTGAGGAATGGGCCGCTCAGGACGCAGATAAGCAGCTCTGGGCTCATCTCTATCCCACCCCAGTGAAGGAGAGGCTGGGGGTCCCCCCTTAGGGGCTAGGCCCCATTCTGCACCTTGGGGGCTCCAGCCCCCCTAAAATTAAATTTCTACAATATCCCTTTAGCTTTCAGTCCCCCCAGCTTCTTGAACCCAGAGGAAGCACTGGGCTTTGGAGCTGCAGCCAGACCCTGTGGCCGCAGAGCTAGAGAGGCCTGCTCCCCTCTTGGGGCTGGCCACAGCGCAGGACCCAGACAGGACTGCTGCACACCTGGTGGGGCTCCGTGGCCACCCACCGCACGATGTGGGACCCCAAATGGCTCACCAAGAGGGCGGCACCGTGTGCCTTACAGGCAGGGGGCACCCTGGTGACCACTTTCACGGGTGGGCCCCCAAATCCCCGCACCCCAGGAAAGGCTGTGCAAACCCTTGTCCAGTGGAGGGACCTCGGGAGCCAGACCTTCCCCAACTGAACCCCAACGTCTGCAATAAACAGCGCAGTTTGCGTTCGGGCTTGTGAGTGTGCAGTTGCTGGGGTGTGGGTGGGCCAGGAGAGGCACACAGGGCCTCTGGGACACCAGCAAGGGACTTCAGGCCTGCCCTCCTACCTCCACAGAGCAGCATCCACCCTGCGCTCCTGGGGCGGCTGGTGGGCTCAGCACAGAGGGGCTCAGGAGGTTGCAGGGGTCCGTGGCCATCCAGCAGTGGTGGGACCGTGCTGTGTGCCCCTGGGCTGCGGCTACCATCTCATGAAATGAGATGAAATGAAATGACACTTCTGTGGCATTGAGCTCATTCACATTGTTAGGCCACCATCGTTTCTACTGACTACCAGAACATTCTTACCACCCCCAAAAGAAGTCCCGTCCCTATGAGCATCCAGGCCCCAGGCCCTCAGACCCTAACAGCCAGACTCCACTTCCTGTCTCTGATTCAGGCACTTCCTGTGAGTGGACTCCCACCCACACTGTGTCCTTTTGTGTCTGAGCTCAGGCTGAGCGCCAGGTCCTCAGATCCACCCACACTGTGGCTGGTATCATGTTTGGCAGGTCGGTTGGTTGGTTGTGGTCCTGGGCATGGAACCCAGGGGCGCTCTGTCACAGCTACATTCTTACATTCTTAGCCCTTATGTGGTTTTGAGACAGGGTCTTATCTGGCATGCATGAGGCCCTGGATTCAACCCCCAGCCCTTCAGGGCAGGTGAGAAACAAAGGGAGCCAGGCCCTCAATAAGTTACCCAGGCTGGCCTCCGAATCGGCCCTTCTGCCTCAGCCTCCCCGGTACCCAGACGATAGGCGTGAACCCCTCCCTGGCTTCACTGGGCAGCTTTCTACGCGATAGCAACTTCTCCTTCCTGCCCAAGGCCTCCTGGAACTTGCTTCCCACCAATGATTGGTTCGTGAGATTCCTTGGCAGCAGGAGGCTGCTCAGGCTCTGCCTTGTGGCTGTGTGCCACGCACCTGTCTAGGAACGCAGATGGATGCCCAGGTGGTTCAATCCCACAGCCCCAGGGGGCTGCAGGCTTCTGTGCTGGGTATCCTTGTCCTCACCAAAGACTGCCTGAGTGCCTGCTCTGTGTAGCAATGCTGCAGGAATAAAGGACACCAAGGGGGGGCTGGGGTCGAGGCTCAGCGGTAGAGCACTGCACCTGTGAAGTGCTGAGCTCGACCCTCAGCACCACATAAAAACAGACAAATACAAAAAGGTATTGTGTCCAACTTCAAGAATGATAAGAATTAAAAAAGCACACCAGGCCCAGGCCCTCCAGGAGCTGAGCCTGTCGACAGGGATGCAGGCAGGACACAGGGGAGAAAGTGAACTATCTACTGTCTTTAGATGCTAAGGAGACCACGCTGGGCTGGGGAAGGTAGGTTTAGAGGTGGTGCAAGCAGGAGGTCAAAGTCCTAAAGAGGTGGGGAGTGAGCCAGGCAGAAGGCTCGCTGTGCTGTGCCAAAGCTCTGGGCCAAGGCTTTGGAGGCAGAGTCAGGAGTTTGTGTGGCTGGAACAGAGGGGAGAGGGAAGGGGGAGGCAGTGAGGGGACAGGAGAGGTCCCGCAGGGTCTCCTGGATCACGGAGGACTTGGGCTTTGACTCAAAAGGAAGTGGGAGCTATGGAGGGCTGTAGGCAAAGGAGGGACGCCCTGCAGCTCACATTATACCAACTTAACGCCCCTCCCCATCTCTTAAGTCTGTTGCAAGAATTAAAGAACCCACGCAGCAGAGAGTGAGCGCCAGGGCACGGAGCTGTCCCCGACCTTATTTGCGATCCTTGTTATTTCTGCATCTGCATCTCAGGCCCCTGCGGACCGCCAGACGTCCCCAGGGAGGGTGCAGCTGGCCCTGGCAGGGCCCGGACACCTGGGGCCCGTGCCCCCCTCCCCACCCCATGGTATCGCCTTCCCGGGCGGCTCGGGTTCCCGGATCGCCTTACCAGGGCGACTCGGCTATCGCTCCCTGGACAGGGGGAGGGGAGGCTGCAGGAAGCGGTGGATCCGGAGGCGGCGGCGGCAGCCTGGGTGGGTGGAGGAGCTCCTCCGGCCATGGAAAGCGCTGCTGCCCGCGAGGCCCCGGGGGCTGAGACCCCGCGCGCCCCCGTGCCCCCGCCCTCCCCGGCGGAGACCCCAGCCGCGCCCCGCGTGCGCCCGCGCCTCGTCTTCCGCACGCAGCTGGCGCACGGCAGCCCCACCGGCAAGATCGAGGGCTTCACCAACGTCCGCGAGCTCTACGCCAAGATCGCAGAGGCCTTCGGAATCGCGCCCACCGAGGTGAGTGCCCCCCACCCTGATTCCCGCGCCCGAGGTGCCGGGCGGAGCGGGGATAGGGACGGAGCCTGGGCCCTAGACGGGAGCCCGCGGATCCCAGATTCCTAGGAAACCTCGGGTCCCAGGACCCCCGGATGCCGGGCGCTTGCGGAGGTCGGTTCGCCAGATCTCAGGAATGCTCCTCTGGATCCGAGGTGCCCTGCGCAAAAGATTAGCAGGTCTTGGGTCAGGAGCGCTTGCTCTTCCAGGGCCGGCTCCGTGGACCCAGCTCGGATGGATCCCTGCCTCTGGGAGGAGCTCCCCGCGTGCCTGGGCCCGGGTGCCTGGGGTCCGGAGGTCGGTGGCTCTGGAGGCTGGGAGCTGGTGCTTTCCAGACAGGTCCTTGCACTGTGCAGCCCGAAGGGGGCGCCAGGAAATTCCATTTTTCTGAAAAAAACCTCCTCCGGGGTTTAACATGGAAGTCAGGGCTCGGGAGGTGGCGGAGAGGGACCCCTTGTGTCCGCAGCTTCCTTTTCTCCCACATCCCCATTCTGAGGTCTCCACCCCAGCCAATCCTGGGGGGCTGCCTTGGCACCTCGGTTTCCTCCTGGGGCTCTGCACCCACGCACCCCAGGGTGGTGCAGAGTCGAGAGCTGAGGCGAACTCGGGCCCCCCTCTCCCACAGATCTTATTCTGCACCCTCAACAGCCACAAGGTAGACATGCAGAAGCTTCTGGGTGGACAGATAGGGCTGGAGGACTTCATCTTTGCCCATGTGCGCGGCGAGACCAAGGAGGTAGAGGTCACCAAAACAGAAGATGCCCTGGGACTGACCATCACCGACAATGGGGCTGGCTATGCCTTCATCAAGGTGCCTAGGGTGGCCGGTCACTTCCTGGGTGTTTGGGGATCTGACTTGAGTGACTGCCTCTTTGGATCTACGTAGGCTCTGGGGACCCACGGGAGGTGGCCGGGTTGCCTGAGAGCAGCTCTGGGTGCCCACAGAGGATCAAGGAGGGCAGCATCATCAACCGCATCGAGGCAGTGTGTGTGGGCGACAGCATCGAGGCCATCAATGACCACTCCATCGTCGGCTGCCGCCACTACGAGGTGGCCAAGATGCTCCGGGAGCTGCCCAAGTCCCAACCCTTCACCCTGCGCCTGGTGCAGCCCAAGAGAGCCTTCGGTGAGAGCCACCTGGGCTGGCGGGGGGAGCGACCAGAAAGCGGGCACTTGGGACAGTGGAGGAGGGGCAGGGTGGACGGTGTGGAGGGCCGGGCTCAGGGGCAGAGTGCCTGCCTGGACCTGGGGCCCTGGGCTCCACCCCCAGTATCACACACCCAGAGGACATTTCTGGATGCCTCTTGTGCATGGCAGGCTCCTGGCACTGTGTCCAGAACGGGCAGGGACTTTCTAGACCACCAGAGGGTCAGTGGTGGGGGAGGACGGGGGAAAGCTCGGGCAGAGGGGTCAGATAGGTCAACTGTTTGGCCGGCTGAGAGCTTGTGAGGTGGCCCCGTGACACCTGGCTTGTTCTAGGAAGGTGCTTTCCACAGGGAATATGAGACTGGCCCCTGGGAGAGGCAGGAAGCTTGCTCCAGACGGTGGCTCTTGGCCTCGGCACTGGACACCGGGGCTGGACCCTTCTCTGGAGGGGTGTCCTGGGCACTGCAGGGTGCTGAGCCACAGATGTCAGACGTGGCCCAGGGTGCCTGGGGACAGGTCCACCCTGCTGGGGCCTCTGTTGGAGAATGTGCACCATCTCGGCCACTTCCTCCTGTGGATCAACATGGGCTGCCCTCCTTGGCCCGTCGTGGGTGGCCCTTGGGGTGGTACCAGTCTAGGGTGACAGACTCCAACGGTGCCTGGCACCTGGTGGAGGAGGCCCAGGAGACAGGAGCAGGGGGTTTAGATCTGTCTAAAAGGAAGAGCCACTTCTCCAGGGAGGACCCCGACCCTCCAGCCACCGAAGGGAGTCCCTTGAAGAGGCAGGTTTGGGAAGTGTCCAGGGCAGGATGGACACGTCGGTCTCCGCCTGGCTGCTCTGTGGCTCCCTCTGGACTCGTGGCTTCGTGTCTTAGGAAGAGTGGAACCTGAGTGGTCTCTGAAGGTGAAGGGCAAGAAGGTTCTAGAAAGCTCAGCTGGCGGCTTCCCGGGGTTCTCCACATCCAGAACACGCCTGTCCCCACTCTGTTCCCTCCAGATATGATCGGCCAGAGGAGCAGGGGCAGCAAATGTCCTATGGAAGCACGAGTGGCCAGTGGGAGGGAGACCCTGCGGCTCCGCTCTGGGGGTGCTGCCACAGTGGAGGAGGCGGTGAGTGGGGCTTCCTCCAGGGCCGGCTGCCCAGGCCCCCCCCACAGCCTCCGTTCCCCTCCCGTGAGGCGGGTCCTGGGAGGAGGCGGGGCCATCGGGTGGCGCCAGAGCACAGACGCTGGGTGTCCCAGCTGCTCCTCCCCGGGGCGGGTGGCTGGGTGGCACTCCTCACCCCCGGCCTCCTCCCCTGTGCCCAGCCCAGCGAGTTTGAGGAGGAGGCGTCCCGGAAGGTGGACGACCTGCTGGAGAGTTACATGGGCATTCGGGACCCAGAGCTGGGTAAGGGGCCCGGGTAAGCTGGGTGTCCCTGGAGGGAGGGCAGTCCCCGGGAGGAGGCCGGGGCCCCGTCCGGAGCCAGGAGCAGCCTCACCACGTCCCTCCCACACGGCCCGCAGCATGCACCATGGTGGAGACATCCAAGAAGACGGGCAGCGTCCGGGAGTTTGCGCGCTGTTTAGACTCCGTCTTGGGCGAGTTTGCCTTCCCGGACGAGTTTGTGGTGGAGGTGTGGGCCGCCATCGCAGAGGCCAGGGAGGCCTGTGGCTAGTCTGCCCCGGGGCCGAGCGCAGCCCCAGCCCGCAGCCCAGCCCACTGCCCCCGCCATCCCAGCCGGTGCCCAAAGCCCAGCCCTGCTCCAGAACCCAATCCACTTCAGAGTCCCAACCTGGCTCCACAACCCAGCCCTTCATGAGAACACAGCCCAGCTCTGAGGCCAAACTGTGCTCCAGAACCCAGGCCAGCTCTGAGCTAGAACCCACCTCTAGATACCAGCCAGGCTCAGAGACCAAATGCAGCTCTGAGACCAAGCCTGGCTCCAGAACTCAGTTCAGCTCTGAGATCAAGTCCTGTTCTAGGACTCAGAGCAGCACTGAGACTAAGCCTGACTCCAGAACCCAGCTCAGTTCTGAGACCAAGTCTTGCTCTAGAATGCAGGCCAGCTCTGAGCAAGAATCCACCTCTAGATACCAGCCAGGCTCGGAGACCAAACTCAGCCCTGAGACCAAGCCTGACTCTTTAATCCAGCTCAGCTCTGAGATCAAGCCCTGTTCTAGAACTCAGGCCAGCTCCGAGACCAAGCCTGACTCTACAACCCAGCCCAGCTCTGACACCGAATCTGCCTCTAGACATCAGGA